ATTATTGAATTAAATCTTAGAATTCTTTTTTGAAAGCGTACTAACCTTGTAAATTATAAGGTAAAATATAATTTCAAACACACAGTTGAATGTTTTTTTTTAATGTAAATGATGGTATTTTTTAAAAAAAAAACTACCAGCACTAGCTCGTAATTAAGATCACATGAAAATATTATTGGTGTAATATATAAAACAAATTTTTAGTTAAAAAATTAGTCTCATTATGTATCATGTAAGATGAAAACAAAATCATAGACAAAAATTTAGATGAAAATGATTAAATAATGAATTTAACTATCAAATGAATAGGCGATAAGGGTTAAAAAATTTCAAGAAAATTCGTGATTTTTTTTGTATATATTATTTTTGATTCTAAAACCACCATTGGCCTTTAAGTATATTGATATTATTGTCTCTAACGTTTAGAATACAGCTGGTTAAATTCTAACAAATTGGATAAGTATTTTTGAGATAAGTAAAATTTAATATCGAGAGTAATTGTATTATTGTTTGCCAAACGGTATTGGCCATTTGGTAACGGTCCAATATGTGATCAGTAGAAACATTTTAATCTACCTGTATACCTGTAGTTGTTTGTGGTCTTAGTGATATTTTGAATCATACTAAATTCCACTAAAAACAAGAAATGACGTGACTAACCGTGTAATTGAAAATTTAACATTTTAAAAAAACTTTTGACGGCAAGTTCCGAAATGTTATGAATGAAGTTCGCAATAGATCACATACATTGTTGATACCAAACTTTTTTTTATCTAGGTATTTTATTGGATGGTTCCCAATTTATTAATTGACTACTTTGATACTGTACGTTTGATTTTTATTATTTAGCTATTATCTTGTTTCGTTCATCTCAAATTAAAGTGTTATCTTAAATAATATTATATCTTTAAAAGTCATCGAGTAAATGTCGGTTCGATGACATTTTATTTTCATTCAGATTTTAAATGCTAATTTAGTAGTAGAAGACCGAAGTAATTAAATAATTTAATAAATATAGAAAAAATAGAAAATTATACGATTATAACCGTTGAAATACAGCTGAAAACTGTTATATTTAAATTATGATTTTTAAAAAATATTTTTCAAAATTTATCGAACATTAATAAAACATATTATTAAACGAATAATTACTAACCAAGAGCGTATAACTATACTATAACTGATAATATGGCTATTGTATTATCATTGAAAGCTTAAGATTTTTAAGATTTGTTTACAATTGAATTCGTTAAACTCTAGGATTTTCTTAGCTTGCTTCGACTATTAATTTAAACAAATATCTAATTATCATTAAATTTAATTTCAGTAAACGTCGACGAGTATTAGAGAGTAAATTATCTACAAATAACATAAACATATATATATATATATATATATATACGGATATACACTAGTACAAGACCGCATACACATGCCGCCTGCGACCAATAATATTGATTTAAAATTTTAGAATGTCAAAACACGTTTAAGACAATTAAGACATTATTGTAATGTTTTGTATACGTATTGTTACAATATAATATTTTTGACTGTTTAGTAAATAATAATAATAATATTGTATAGTATTTTTCTTTATTCGGTCGACTTACAGTTATACAAATATATTTTGCACAAAAATTACTTACAATGATGGATCTTCTCGGATCGTAAATGTTTAAGTTACTGACGTTTAGACTAATTTTTGTTTTACTTTTAACAGTCAATATAATTCATTAAATCTGAATAATGTCAATTGTAATAGTGTCGAAATCGCTATATATACTTATACTAATATCTGACAACTCATGAAATGCGTGATGATAATTCGCGAATAGTGGTAATCACATTTTTAAATCTTCATTTTTGTCTTTTTTTTATATAAACATATAGAATAATATATTAAAATATATTTCTTTAATTAATTTGAATACTTCACTTATAGTTGGATATTCCAGACAGATACGCGGTACCAAACATTTGTTTGTAAATAAATGGTGGTGCCTATCGGCATCATCAGACAGTTTTTTCATTTTAATTATAATCAACAGCAAAAACTTAACATTAATGTTATCGGAAGAAATTTAAAAAATAACACATTCTACATATATATATATTTATTTATAGTACTGTATCATTAACATAACATATATAACTTTATATAAATCATTATTTAAATACAGCTACTTCTATCTAAATACCTTAATTAAATAACAATGTTCAAAATATAATTATTCAGCGAAGACGTTTTAGAATCATGGATCTTCATAAAGTTTTGGCTCACTTGAGTAATTTGATAAGTGAACGTCACTGTATGAACATTTTTTATTTGATTTTCATACACTTACGCATTTTATTTATTTCCATTTATGTTTCTTTATCGACCATTTTGGAACAATGAATAAATATTTTAATATTGTGACGATAACTGGAAACCCAAAACGTGATATTGTGTAGTTCACAAATCTTTTTTGATTAATGATTCGGTGACGGAAAGTTGTGTAAATTAAGTTTTATTCACGCCAAACTTATTGAAAACGAAAACGAAAATGATACTACAATAACAGTTGTTCTACAAAAAAAAAAACACACGGTGCGCACAGTAAGATAGCGTAAGAAAAATATTTTGTTTTCGTAATTTTTACTCACATAATATTAATTTTGTATTTACTCATATGTAATTATAACCGTGAATAAATAAGATACTGTTGACGATAAACAAATAAGTTGAAACTCAAACGACCAAAACAAAAACGAATATGGTTAAATTGTACGAACGAATGTTGCACGTTTTATAGTACATTTCATCGAATAGACCTAATGTCGGCTTTAGATGACGGACGCACCGCAAAAATAATTACGTGTCGGCTATAACTGACAGGCACAATGAATTGGTGAAAATTAAACGCATACGCGGCAAAGAGGTGAACAATTTAAGTAATTATTATAAATGGCTTTTGCTTATAACTTCCTAATGTTATTTTGAATATTACGCTTTCAAAATCTGTTTCAAAGGTTCCATTCAACTATTATAAACGTATGATCGAGAAATAAGTTTAACCCTTTGTCGACCAATGGTACTTATCATGTCATGATGTATCATATCATGATAGTATGTTTACATTTGTGGTATACCTTTTTCAAAAAAAAAAAATTGATAACATTGTACAAGTACTTTTGATCGAGTTTAAGTTGTTATTTTGTATGGAGTACGATTGCGAAATGACGAGTTGCTTTGAAGAAGGTTATCAACATTGTATTATATATACTCGTGAAATTTAATGTAATTATGCCTATGATACAATTAGTGAAAAAGGAAGAAAACAAGGTATTGTAAAATTGCATATACAACCATATACACTACGTCACGCCACTGAATATAATGTTTTATGTAAACAATTCAATATAGTTTCAAAGCTTTAAATTGTATTACGCATACATCGAAAGTCCGATAATATCAAACATTACGCGTTCGTATTTGTTTTATTCCGAGAATATTATTCGATTACACTGCAATATTGATTTTGCTTTGCATTCTAGGGGTTGACCGGAAATTTGGCAGACAACGTACGAAGAGAGGGTTATTCTACGTTGAACATAAATACGCGAGTCAGTTGGTCGAATTTCGTTTTCAAGAACTACCTACTTCCATTTGAAATTATTTAAAAAATAAATATCAACTTAGAATAATCTGCTTACCATAACGTAAAAACAAATTAATAAGATAAATGTATAGGTAACTTAATAGGACCAACGGATGACTTAAATCGATACACGTTTAAGTAGGTGATAATTAAAATAAATATTCAATGTTTAAAATATCATATCTCAACTAATCGATCATCGGTTTGTTTTACATATATTTTTCAAATTATTATATTCGTCCATTTTAAATAAAAGAACATAATAACATTGTACTCATCATTTAAACGTGTACAACTATAATATAAATGTATGTATTGTAAAATAAAAGCAAACCATTTACAAAAGATTATTTTTGAAAACGGTAATTAAGACGTTTTATTGAAATACGAGTATGACAATTCCGAATGATGTTTTTTAATACTGTTGGATTATTAACATACAAAGTTTTTATAGAAAATAATCTTTACTTTTATTATAATAGTACATACATTTTTAGCATTTGGATAAGTAAAACACAGAACACATAAGTACAACAAATAGTATTACATGAAATAGAAAACACATTATTAAATATAAAGTAGATATAAATAGAATAATAACAATCAGGCATAACGTCAGGCTTTCGCGTATGGCCATCTACGTTCAAAACAGGATGAAATCATATACGATAACTCGTATAAATGTGTCGCATCGTAGCTAAAACGTTTCACTACACTCGGCGTTCGGAATGACAACCGCGACCGTCTCTCCGGGTGCAGTGTTATTCAAATAGTACGCGATAACATGCGCTTACGTACGGGATGTAATGTTCGAAGGGAAGTGGTGAAGGTAAAAAAACGACGATTTCGATTCACAAAAGGTCTACAGCGAAATAAAAAAACCGGTACAAACCGGTCGCGGTGCGAGATAACAGATCCGATCGGAGCACGTTCGTAAACCGTTTTTTGTAACAACTAGTTTTCAAAAAAAAAAAAATCGTCATACCCAATCATAAATAAGCATCAAGTATTTTAAATCCTAAAACAAATTTAAAGTCCTATCCCCAACAGTTTACAGGGAACCGGCCGATCCGTTTACGTGATTTTCACTCGGTACCGAACCGTATCGTGTAGTGGCCAGCAGCCGGAGACCGACATCGGGCCGAACTCGTGCGAATATATGGTAATAAGCGGAAATAAAACGTGCGAATCGGACGGACGGTACGAGCGGAGACGAAACAAATTATCGGTTGTGGCGGTGGTGAGGGGAGTGGTGGTCGGTGAAAAGGGAGAGGGTTGCACGTCTTCGCGTGGTAATCGCGTAAAAAAAAAATAAAAAATAAAAAACCGGATGACACGAAAATACGAGGGTGTACTTACCGCTGGCGGTGGCTTCTTCGTCGTCGTCGGCTGGTGCTGAGGTGGGCTACAAGGAGATACGGCCCATCGCCCCGGTGCGTCCGTCGCTGTCCGTCGGGGCCGTAGAGATGACGTGAGGACGACGACCGCGACGACCACGACGACTGGCAATCAGCGTCAGCAGCGACGGAGACCTCGGGGAGAAATGTACCTCTTCGCACGGCAACCTACCGAACGGGAGTGTATCGACCGGGCGCGGGCAGCCCCGGAGACTGGGCCCGGTGGACCGCCAACGCTTGCGCATACCGCCGCCGCCGCCACCGCCGTCCACCGACCCCGCGACCCATTCGTCACCCGCCGAACCGTACTGCCACCGCCCCGTCGCAGACCGTACTGGTGGTTGACGGGGTGCGTTCGGTGCCGGTCGCGCGCAGGGATAGGAGGGATTCGTTCGTGACGCGTGCGACGACCCGGTGCAGTGCGCCGCGAGAGCCTAATGAAGCGCGAGCGATTGACGGTCCCGGGGTTTTTTTTTCGTTGCTTTTTTCTCATGGTTTTCTTCTTCTTCTTATTATTATTATTATTTCTTATCCTTCTTTCCTCCCGAATTCGACTCCTGGACGGATACATTCGTTACTACCACGATGATAATCCTCTGCTGTCCGGTCCATCCGGTTCGAAACGAATTATACATACGATCCGTATATTGTATTGGTACACCGCACATTGAAAAACCGTAGAAAAAACACGACACAGATGGACGGGTGGATAACAAATTACGAATTCGATCCGGAGAATACGCGCGTTATTATCATGATTCCCGTCTGGGACATTTCTAGGGATTTAAAGGAAGAACGTGTACGGGAATTCGAGTTGCCGATCGGAAATCCGCTTAAGGGGGGCATTATGAATACGTATTACGCGAAGGAAAAATATTTTCGCTTGCCGTAGATATATGAATGTCCTTGCTCATGTCACAGCCGCGCCGATATGCGCGCTGCGCCCTCCCGGTGTGTAGGCGACACGTTATTCGCGCTGGGGGTGCAGGTGTACACACGCCATAAATATCGAGAGGGTGAGGGTGTGTGCGTGAGCGGTTAGATAGACGGGTGTGTGTATGTGTGTCAAATCTTTGACGCAATCACGACCGCAAGTATTCGCTCTTGTTATTCGAGCGTCGACGCTTTGCCGGTAGAGCGCTTGAACGTTTAATGAGACGACATCGATGCGCATACCAAGTCTTTTTATAGCCCGCGCGCATCGCATGTATTACGGGTTTTACACGTGCAACGAATCAAAACAATACGAACGTGGTAATAACGGAAATTATTACGATCCGTGTGCACGCGCACATTGTACCGCACGAGAAAATCGTTTTATTACATCCGCGGTGCGCGGCCTGATGCGAAACGCATGTGTAAGACGCTGTGTCTATAACGCGTATCGCATTCAATACAGTTGTACATTATATACTGTCGAGTTGTTGCTAAACATAGAGCAATATATTTATGTTTATAAACGTCAACATCTGAGCATTATTAAGGGTTTATTATTATTTGCTATCGGAATCGCAGTCGAGTGATGCGAAAATTGAAGACATTTTTTTAAATAAACACATGCATTTCGTGCACCGTGTGAAAACAAAGGTTTATGCAGTTTTGTAAATAATCCACTAATGAAAAATGAATATATTATGAATAATAATAATAATAATAACAGTTAAGCAACAAAAAAACATGTATATAGTAGCATAATTTTATATGCATATATATATATATATATTATACATATAATTTGTGAAAGCAATATTACTAAAAACTTCAGCAATCTAAACTGACATACGTACGGATGATGACGAATAGAACAAATGGAATAACCGGCTGGAAAAATTAAACCCAACTGCAAAGTTAAAAGAAATTATATGTTTTTCGAATGTTTCGTTCGAACCAAGTGAAAATTGAAGATTGGAGTGTAGTCAATTATTTTGCGTGCTCGATACAATTACGCTGAATACATATATGTGTATGATTGAGAAATTTGGGACGGCTTGGTGTTAACTCGTTGCAATATTTTATTAATCTTCAGTGAACGTTAAATGACAGACCGCTGTTCCATTAAAAAAAACCTTTTAGGTTTTCGGTTGAAATCAATGTAATCGAGAGATGACAAATATCCTCGCACAGCAGCGTCGTAAGAATGATTTCACATCGGCCGATTTCCGTTTCAATGTCACGCGTGTGATTAAATTTCCGAAATTTTCGTACAGTGTAGTACTGAAAATGGATTGGAAGCGAAACGTAATTTTTAAAATACTATTATCAAATTTCTTGTTAAGATAAAAATAACGCAGTGTTGTCATGTTTTTTTAATGGTTAAAAATTTTGTTCCGTACTTGTCTGTACAACTTATGCGCGTGTGATTCATACTTCAAAGATTTTATGTACGATTTTTATTGATAACTTTAAAAAATGTATATGTTAAATCTTCAATTGTGATGTGAATGTTTAAACTTGGAACTATTTTCGTATAACGTGTATACTTTATGAATATGTTTTACGCATGTAACGTTGACCTAACACGAATGATAAGGAGATAATTAAAATGTCTAAGTACTTAGTGTAATGGGTAGGCGCATGTATTGAATAATAAAATAATGATATGCGTGTTTTATTTCGTTAACGACACAACAAGCTAAAACGAGACTACACGAATCATAAAAAACGGGCGTGTAATATTAATTAAACGCGAAAAATATATCTACCACACGTGTTGACACTATGCGGTAGATCAACGTTGAACCCTAAGATTAATAACTCTAAAATATAGTAATTAAATATCTAATTATAAGGTTATAGATATAACAATATACAATATTTCTGCTCATGCGAATCGCGCTTGCGAAACATTTTATTAATTTTTTTCATATTAAATATCCATAAGTTTAAGATATAATTGAATTATATGTTAAAAATCCCCAAAGACGGATGTATAATCATCGTGTTATCAATGTAGAAAAAACAGGTCAAAGCACAAAGTATGTGTATAATAAATTGAATAATTTTTTTCGAAATTTCTGTAAGTAGTCTAGCTGAGTTTATCTCATTACAAGTGAATTTTACGTTCTTGTGTTTAAATCACAAGTTTACTTTAAAAATTGTTACGCGATGGAATGTTTAAACTTTTATTCTTGTATCGTTACACTAACACTATCTTATTCCAATAAGAACAAAGCGAGACGAGTATCTTAAGTCTAGTATTTCTATTCCGTTTGCACTACCATCGTTTGTTCTATGTGCCCATCTTCGTAGCATATTCGAAACAATGACCTGCCCGAAATAGTTACTTACCCAACGTATAAAGAATATTTGCTTCCATTCTGTTATAGTATATTATCACCTGAGAGCTTCCCTAGTTTACCCTTAAATGTTTTTATTTTTTTCCACAACAAAGCATTTGTGTGAAATAAAGAGGAATATTTTTTTATTCAATCAATCTATTCAAATAGGGTTGCATCAGTGTTACAGAATTATTACACCTTACAGTTCAAGGCACGGAATTTCATCAGTATACTACTTCGACACGAGTTTATCGGTCTGGATCAATCCTATGATGCGTTTTAATTAAATGTTTTGAAAACAATAAAATATACCCTTGCATGTTTTCATTAATAATTAATAACGATCGAACCTGAGAACATCCTCGAGCGCGTATGAAACAATAATAATGATGGTTATATTTTAAATTGACGGCTTTATTTTGTCGAAAAATGTTATCTCTTGTCAGCATCCGACAGCGCATAGTTATTTCGGCGTAAAATATGGGTTAACCTAATTGAATGGCTTGCCTCGTAACTTAATATCCACTTTTTGTAATGTTTCTGAATACTAATCGGCCGGGCTATTTAAAAAGAAAACATTTTAACTTACAAGTCGTCGCACTTAAAAAAAAAAAAAAAAAAAATTAAGAAAGAAAGAAGAAAGTCGGCGAAGAATTTCGTTTTGACGGGGTTTTTTTTTTTCCTCCCGTCACTGATAATTACGACTATGAAAATAAAAAAAGAAACAAACATCTTATTTTATCGGATCTTTTTGCAAATTCAAAAGCGTATTGAGACGCCTTTTTATTGTTGTTGCTGTTGCTGCTGCTGGCTGCTACTACTACCGCTCAGAGCAACAGACGGGTGTCGGCGAAAAACGGTAGAAAAAGCACGTACAGGTGATCGTTTCTCGGGTAATGTCATTAGCGTAAATATATATCTATACGGTATGTACACTAGAAATAATTGTGTTTCGAGTGTTTATAGCCTTGGGAGATGCTATTATAAATTAAGTCGTCCATTGAGTATATGATCCGTTGACAAAGTAACCTTTTATAACAGGTACAAAATAACCGCTTGCGATCGGAGAAGATACGGTTGAATGAGCACGAGTAATATAACGGCTTTAATGTTAATTATTACGAAAGTTCGTGCTTTTTTGTTAATTCTCGATATTTTCATATAATAACATGTGTACACAAAACCTTTTGTAAAACCATGAAATAATTTGGCCGTTTCACATGTTGAAGTGATAGCAATATGATTAGTATTTTTTTGTACAGTATGCGAAAGATCGTTTTACGAAAACATTAACGTTAACGGCTCGTTACCTACGTACACAATATGTTATCCTTGATGCGACATAGCACCTTCTTAAATTTATCAAAAAAATTAATAAATAAATAAAAAATAACTCCGTCTAAAAAATACGGAATTAAACGACGTACGCGATAACGTCGGAACACAGCCATGTTGTATATGACGTTTTATTTAATTTTTAATGCGTATACACGCGAACTAGACATTATATGAAATTATAAACACTTAGGACACGCAGATTATGGTTTTTAATTGAAATTCTGACCCGGAAAACACCTATTCGCAGAAAAACCATTATTTAAGCATGACACCCTTAATTTAATACTGGGCTCGCAAATAATACGTTAATAATGAATGTTCTCAGTGAGTGCATCTCCTCAAAATACATTATTTTAACAAAATATTAGTAACCTAATGCCTACGACGGAAATGATCGTGTTCTGTGTTCAAAAAAGTCTCAATAGTTATAGTCATTTTTTAAATTTTAGATTTTCGGTGAATTTTAGATTTTATTATGTTGTATTTTTTTAACTTTTTTTTATTAAATCAATTATATTTTTCGTTTTGTTAAAGATTGTTTAACTAGATTGATAACGAAATTATTAGGTATTTACACTAATTTATTATTAAA